ACACACACACACACACACATTCCTAAAAATAAGAAATAAGCTGCCCAGAGAAAATGGACAGAGTCATGTGCAGCTTTTGGTTTGGCTTATTGTTACTGGATTAAAAATCTTGAGCTTCCAAAGTACAGAGTGTGGACCTGATTTATTTACATTTGGATGAAGAAAACGTTTATGTATGAGTCAGATATGAATTGTGATCTAACATTCACAGAGGGAGAGAGTTCATAGACTGTCAGTCTCTAAGCTGTAAAACTGAGGATAAGTGCGACATACTGCTTTTACTCTGAAATTCCATTAATCAAAATAAGCTGTGTTGTCTCTCTCCAGTCCAGACTTGTTAACAGTGAAATGTCAGTGCATAGATCAAACAGAGTAACATCAAGGTATACATGCATTCTCAATATTTTGTTGTGGATCTATGTGTGTGTGGTGTTGAGGTGTGGCTTTGGACAACTAAATGAAGCTGAATGACAGGAAGTCCTTGTATAGACAGACAGAACTACAGTTCCACTGACTTAACATACACACCCAAGCAGGAAAAAGGAAGCGAGGATATGGTTGATTGTGTGCGTGTTCATGGCGGATGGTCATTGTTTGCACTGCATGCACTTTCCTGTGTCTGTTGGTTGGTTTCCTTAAAAAAGTAAGGGAACGATACACTATATTTTTTATACTGAAAAAGTGGTTTGTGGCTTTACTGAACCATGTGTTGCTATTAAGGAGGTCCTTTGCTCCAGTGTTTCCTTACTATGTGGGCAGATGTGGTTGCCATGGGGACTTCTGATGCAACTGTAAAGTATTTACTGTCGTATTATCATGGTTGCAAATGAAATCTGGTTTTAGTGAGTTCATTTTTCTTGTGGCAATAAATAATTTCCTGTCAGTAAGGCACATTGTAGATTGAATAACTGGGGAGAAAGAGGAAAGGCAAAGGACACAGACAGTCAAACTGAAATTCACATACAGACAGTGTTTTCGAGGTAAGCACATTGGCTCGACCCATGCTTGCCTTGGCAGAAAGTCATTGATCGCATCCTGCTTTATCACTATGGAAACATTCAAAACCCAAAAATTTCTCTCTCTCTTACACACACACACACACACACACACACACACTCACACACACACACAACAAATAGAGACATTATGCAGAAATATGTCATCAATGTAAAATAACAAGTAGAGTGAACTCAATCAGATTCTGAAAAGACTGGACAGGACTGTTGGGACAAGGGTCAAATAGCATATTTTCTTTTGGTCACATGGTCACACTGGTGATGTATCTTTCCCAATATACTTCCAGTGTTTGTTCACAACTTTAGTGGGGAAGTATCTGGAATACAAAGTGATACATGTTTTTTAAAAGAAATAACAATAATGCTGCTGCCTCAGTATTAAACCTTGACAAAAGTAGGAACACTTGAATGGTGACTGTGCTACAGTGGGTCTGTACTGACCATAGTTGGTGTAAGGATAGAGATGTGAAGGAGCTAATGGCCACACAGCAAACTGTGGAGCTCCTGTTGCACTGGACTGATCGCCACAGTTAGCTCTTTGCTGTTAGTTTAACAAGCTTGCAGACTGAGGACAAAGCTTAAATTTTCCCTTCTTTGCTAGTTATGCTTGTTTAGCGAATATTTGTTAAATTACTCTCACTGGCTTTTTACTCACAAGGGTTTTGTGAAAAGCGGATCCATAAACACCAAAACCATATTTCTAATCTCACTCAGTGGTCTTTGTTAAAATGCTCCTGTAGGTCCCTAGTGCATTAACACCAGTTCTCCTGTTTGCTTATGAGTTACACCTACTACAGCCTACAGTTTGCTTGATAGCCAGCTAGCTATGCCTTCACCCCACAAATGCATCTTTCCTACATGTTCTCCCTTAATACATCCATGATGAGAACAGGTGTCACACTTCTGTGATGGGGCATGGTTTCAGTGTCTTCAACTGACATGCCCGCAAGCATCTTAGAACTGAGAATGCTTCTTATTTTTTCATAATTTTGAAAACAAATTTTAGTGATCTTTTTAATCTTTCACATTTGTCTGGGTGGTTAATAACACATCTTCCTGTGGTATGACAAACTCAGAACACATTTATTTCTACTTTACCCCAATATTAAACTATTTAGATGTTTGTGTTGTTGTGTTTGTGGGTTCAGGGTCTGGGACAGGTAAGTCCCAATCTGCTTCTGTTCATCCTTTTTCATAATGTTTATACTTTTTAAGATATTCAGCTTTTTTTTAAATAATAGAAGTCAATGGGAGCTGAGTCTTCCTAATGCTGCAGATCAGTGATACAGTCCTGGAGTGCCATCTGGTGGTCAATAAAATGCAGTGCAAATGAGACATATCTGTCTGTTTTTTGGCATCTCCTCCCGCATTCTTTCACCTAGAAATACCATTCAGGTATCAAAATGTTCAGCTCATCAAGGACCTTCCTGCTTGTATTTTTCTGAGCTCCTGTTGCACTGGACTGATCGCCACAGTTAGCTCTTTGCTGTTAGTTTAACAAGCTTGCAGACTGAGGACAAAGCTTAAATTTTCCCTTCTTTGCTAGTTATGCTTGTTTAGCGAATATTTGTTAAATTACTCTCACTGGCTTTTTACTCACAAGGGTTTTGTGAAAAGCGGATCCATAAACACCAAAACCATATTTCTAATCTCACTCAGTGGTCTTTGTTAAAATGCTCCTGTAGGTCCCTAGTGCATTAACACCAGTTCTCCTGTATATTATTTGTATATTGGATGAAAGGGGGTACTCTTAAGCTGTGTTTCCACTAGCGGACCCTAACAAGCCATAAACCCAGTACTTCCCTTAACCATCACCAACTTATGAGTTACACCTACTACAGCCTACAGTTTGCTTGATAGCCAGCTAGCTATGCCTTCACCCCGCAAATGCATCTTTCCTACATGTTCTCCCTTAATACATCCATGATGAGAACAGGTGTCACACTTCTGTGATGGGGCATGGTTTCAGTGTCTTCAACTGACATGCCCGCAAGCATCTTAGAACTGAGAATGCTTCTTATTTTTTCATAATTTTGAAAACAAATTTTAGTGATCTTTTTAATCTTTCACATTTGTCTGGGTGGTTAATAACACATCTTCCTGTGGTATGACAAACTCAGAACACATTTATTTCTACTTTACCCCAATATTAAACTATTTAGATGTTTGTGTTGTTGTGTTTGTGGGTTCAGGGTCTGGGACAGGTAAGTCCCAATCTGAGGAGGGGGTGGTGTCAGGTATGGTCAGCATTGTTATGCATGTGTTTTTTGTTTTTGTTTTTTTGTGGAGTTTGCTTGCACTGGAGGAACGATCATGGTACACATTTCTGTTGATGTTACAATCTTCCTCCTCTCCACCCACCTACTGTACTTTTTTTTTTCCTTCATTCTTTTTGTATCTTCTGTAGCATCTGAATCACCAGGAGAATGTGTGAGAATACTTGAGTTCCTTAGCTGCATTTTCATTCTTAATCCAGAATGGCTTCCTAGACAGGATTCATATACACAACTGACATTTTGACCTAAAATAGAAACCTGTATGGATCTGAATAGTCTGTACAATGTACATTTATCGGTATTTGCTGAGGGTTATTGTCCAGCCATACTATCGTGGGTCAAGTGTTGTGCAATGCTAATGTTTGAGGTGTGAAGATCCAGACATTTAAGCAATCACCAGCGAGTGCTGTGCTTGCACACACCCCCTCCCCCTGCACATTCCTGGTACTGGTTGATTTTAGTACTACGTCCTGAGGGGTGCTAAAATTTTGCTCCTGGACCTTACCTCCAAAGCGGGGCCAAGTGTAGTGGAAACACACACAGTACCTGTGACATGCATTAATTGGCTTGACACATTTTAGTATGGCCCTCTAGTGACAAACTCACAGTTGCTATAGCTAACATGTTAAATAACAAGGTAATAGATATGTCAGGGTTGTGTTTACAGTTTGTTTCACTGACCCTCAGGTGACCAGAAAAGTTTTAAAATGTAGCCATTTTCCAAATGAGGACCACATTTCCCATCAGCCACATTGCTTCCTGATTCCCCATATCTGAAGTGATTTTCTTTTCCTCCATAGTCAATTACTGTGTCAAACTGAACACTTTAGCCATTTCTTCAAGAAAGAAAAGTGCCCTCCTCACTGATTGGAGTGGAGGCTATTATAGGTCAACTCCATGATGTTTTGATAACTTCTTGATAGTACACTGGAACATTCTCTCTGACCTTTGCAGATTGCTGATACACCTCATCATGGAGAGCTCCATCA